CACGATCAGCGTTAGCCATGTCCAGGTGGAGGGATTCCGCAGTGCCAATGCCACTGGTTTCTCCTCGGTGCACGATTGCGACAGCTCGGAGACCTCCGATGTAGTGCCCATCGCTGTGGGCATCGCCCTTGCTGCTCTCATTCTTGTGGTTCTCATCTCATATCTGTGTGCGCGTCGTCGTTCCACCTCTCGCGGCTACATGAGCTTCTAAGCTGAAGCTAAACAAGTTAGCGATAGAGAAAGCGTGTAGAGCAGAGAGACAAAGAGAGAGAGAGAGAGAGAGACGGAGGGAAGCAAAGAGCAGAAGGAGATGGAGAAATATGCATACGTATATGTTTACACATGAATAGTGTCCAGGCAGTTGCAGCAGTTGTTGTAAGCGAGCGAGGGTTAGTTAGTGCGTTATAATCAAGAGAGAGTTGTAAGATTGATTTTCTAATTGGCTGAAGAGTGAGAGGAAACGAGAGGACACTGTACGAGGAAAAGTAAAACAGGATGCAAATATTAGAAATTTTGTAAATTTGTCTAGCGATTCATATAATTTTATCTTGGATTTTGTTTTGTTTCAATATTTATTGTCTAAATTTAAAAAGGGAAATATCAAATTGTAAAAAAAAAAAAAAACAATTCTGTGTGTATATGTGAGCGAGGCATTCTTAAACTTATCCGTAATCGTATCAAATTATCAAATGAAATACTTCTATCACTTTTTCTACAAAACAAGCAACAATTTAAATTCACACAATATGCGTATTCAAACGATACACAAAACCAAAAGTAAATAGAACACACATAAATATATTACTCAATTCAACGTCGAAAGGTGAGAAAAACGCGTGCAAGCAGAATGAGAGAGAGAGGGAGAGGGAGCAATTAAGAAATACGACACTGTGGCAAGTAACGGTTATTACGTAAATGACAACAACAAACAGCGAAAAGCAGAACACTAAATATTTTTAGAATACCAATGTATTGATTTTAAACTATAACCGTTAATAAACATCAACAAATTATGTATTATTTGCCGCTTTGAAGCGTAATAAACGATAAACCAAAATAAGAGTCTGATTGGAATTGCAATTGCAAGCAAGCAGTTCAACGCGGGCTGCCCCGTTACCGCTTCCGATTGAATTACATGGTGCAAGCAATGTTCTGGCACTGCTTACTGCACGCCCAAAAGAGTCGCTGAGTTGAACTGCTTGCTCATTGGCGGTTAGTTTGAAATAGGACCAATTCCGTAAATTGGTAGACCAACAATTGAAAAATATAGCAAATTAAAACTATAACTCGCAAATATTTAAAAACCAAGTTTATTTACTTATATAAAATAAACAATGTGTGTGCTTTAAATGGGCAACAGGCTGTCCGCATTCATTTCCGCATCATCGTCCGAATCATTGCTCTGCTGTGCGCGGTACATGCCAGTGCGAGGACGCTCGGCTGGCGGGCCCAAGGGATCCACATACTGTTTCACTGAATACGAGCTGCCGCTTTGAAGGAACTGCTCAGCATTGGAGGCGAGCGTAGCTGAGATGTCGCTGTTCTCCTGCAAACGCTCCTCATTCGAGGGACGCAATGCTGTAAGGACAGAATGAGAGACACAGAGAGAGAGAGAGAGAGATAGAGATAACGGATGGACGTTGTTTCGCTCTAGCATTACTCACCCTTTAGGTTGCTGCTTCTGCTGCTCCGACTGGAGGTGGCTGAGGAGAGGCGCTGCTGTTGGTAACGCTGTTCGTTCTGTCGCTCCTGCTGCTGCTTCTGCAACCTGGCATATTCCTGGCCATAGCGCTCGTGCAGCTCGGACATACCTAGGGACTTGGTCACCTGCATCAGAGCACGCACACAGGTAAGATTATCCGGAAAGCGCGCATAGATCTTCTCAAACATGCCCAGATATTGCTTGGGCGGCAAATACGAATTGCGAAAGCAGCTGGCGATGCGCAGCATCAGGTTGGGATCATTGGGATCGGCGAGCACTGCCCGCTCATAGTAATAGAGCGCCTTTTCCGTGGCCTGCAGCTTGATGTAGTAGGAGCCAATGGAGCTGGCGATGTTGATGTCGCTCATGTTGATGCGATACGCCTCGTTGTAGTATTGATTGGCCTCCTGGTGATCCTGTCGCTGTTCGTACATGCTGCCCACCTTCTCGAAGAGCCGCGAATCAATCTCCGCCGCCGAGATGCCCAGCACCTGGAGGTAGGCCTGCAGTGCCCCTGGCGAGGCAGTCGACTTGAATCCGCCCACAGCCGAGGCGTTGCTCAGACGTCGCTCCTGCAGCTTGGCCAGCTGGTAGTAGACATGACTGTGCTGCACCGAATGCGGCTGCATGAGCTGCGCCTTCAGCAGCTCAAACTGCTCCTCGGCCAGCTCGTAATCCTGCTGCTTTATCGCCAACAGGCCCAAATTGTAGTTGGCCTCAAAGCTAGTCGGATCCAGTTGCAGTGCCCGTTGCAAGCGTTCGCCGGCCGAGCTGTAATTCTGATTCAGCATATCCACAATGCTGGCATTGACCAGCGCCAAGACACTCGTCTGTAGGGCACCCAGCTCCTGCAGCTGATTGAGGCAGTGCGTGGCCATCTCCAGGTTGCCCAGCTGCAAATTGAATCCGAGGTGTTAGCTCTCTAAGTATTATATTATAAACAGTTCACATTTGAGCTCACATTAATGTAGATAAAGCTCAGATTCGTTAGCGCGCTGGCCGTCATGGAGCTCTCGCTTTTGCGATCGTACATTTGCAGCGTCTCGATGGCCTGGTTGACATCGTTCTGGCGCAAATAGACGAGCGCCTTGTTCAGCTCCAGTTCGTTGGCCAGCCAGGAGAGATTTGAGGTCCTGATGACCTCAATGCACCAGTTGTAGCCTGTGTGTGGAATCGAATATTATTAATGGGTAGGTTTATAACTAAGCTAAATAGATATTCCCAACTGGGTGTAGTCTCTAGTAAAACATTTCCATATAAGCTCTACAAAAAACTCACCATCATTGTAGTTCTCCTCGATGAGCGGCGAGATCAGATCCACAATCATTGTAACGGAACGTTTCTCGGTATTTCGCCTTTGTTTCGTATAAATTGCCAGTTCATCCGTTTTGAGAGCCTGCAGGACATAACGATTTTTGGCATTTGCCGAGCTCTTCGTTGGATCATTTAGCTGCTCGTAGGAGCTGCCCGCTTCTGCATCAATTATGGCCACCTCAGCTCCGTTATCACCCAGATCTACGGCCGATTGTCCAGCCTGCTCTGCCTGCTGCTGCAGGCGTATTATATTATTCTCATTTTCCAAATCCCGTTCCGTTTCCACCGGCTGCACATCGCAGAGGCTGCGAAAGGTGTTCTTGATTTTCTCCACATCGCCCATGGCATAGTAGCAGAGCAGCAAATGGATGCCATTGCGTATATCGGCGCGCTCCGACATGATGAACTCAAAACTGGAGGCAGCATCCGCATACTGGCCCATCCGAATGAACAGCACACCGATGTTCTCGGTGATCTTCAGGCGCAGCTGCTTCAACGTATTCGGCACCGAGTCCAATGCCATGCGATACATCTTGATGGCCTTCTTGTGCATGCCCATCTTGAAGTAGATGTTGCCCATGTTCAGCTTCAGCTGATTAACATGCGGGAACATTTTGTTCTTGGTCATAATATTGTAGGTATTCAAGGCCTCGATGTGCATGTCATTGTTCTCGTATTGCTCGGCCAGATTGAAGAATACCTGAAAGGTAAGGATAAAAATGGAAAGCATTAAGGATACTCACTGTAATAGTGAGAGCAGCTTTAGGGAATGCTGCACTGCTTACCGCATATGTCAAATCGAAATTGTGAAACACATTCTCGCCCTGCTTGTCCTGCTCGTGATGCAGAATGCGATCCAATGAGGATGCATCCTTCGCCTTGTTGAGCGCCTCGGCCAGCGCGGATTTCACTTCGGCATTGTTGGTGCCAGTTGAACGATTCGATGAGCTTTGAGCTGCCAGCACAATGGACGATTCCAGCAGCTTAACAATCTTTGCCTCCATATTCTTGTACTTGATCTGCGGACTGGACAAACATATCATATCATTCATAAATTTGTTAGACCGTCAGCTTGGCTCTACTCACTTGACCTCCTTGGCCGCATCGACGGATGCATTGGCTGAGGACAGCGTCTGCTGTTTGACCTTCTCCAAAAAGAACTGATCAAAACGCTGACCCGCCGAGCCGCTGGCGCTAGCTGCGTAGCCCACGGCGCGCACCGCTGTCGAGGGTCGAGCCAGCGCTGTCTTGTCGCCAGCATTGCGGCTGCTGACCAAATTGCCGCGCTGTAAATGGAAATCAAAGTAAAGTGAATATATAATATATATTAAATCTCTGCATCAGTCAATCTACCGAAAAGAGCTGCGAAGTGGGCGGTCGGCCAGCAGCTGTGGGAGGAGGCGGCGGCGCGGTTGCTGCAGTATCCACACTTTCCGCTGATTTCTTAGCACTCATTTTGCTCTATTCTATATTCAATTATAAATCCAAATTAATCTAGCGAAAATTCTACATAAAGAACTTTTGTTGTGGCCCCGTCGTTGCCTAGGTAAAGTCTGCGCCGGTTGGTTGTTAAATTGTCGTTGTTAAGGATGGATGTTTTATACGATATGTATAATTTGTCTTTCAGACGATAGTTTTTAGTTAATATCTATTTAAATATAGTCCAAAAAATTTTGTAATGGTTAAACATATCAAAGTTATTTATACTGTGTACGCTTTATCCGACAAGCAGTGCCCACCGTTATATTCAAATATTCTGTTAACTTCTGCTGTTGAATATTCACTGTTTCTGTTAACTCCTCCTGTTAAATATAAAATATTCTGCTTACGCCTCCTGTTACATGTTCAAATAGTATGAAATAACAGAATAAGGACTGAAAAATTCTTGTAGATTCCCATATCACATAGATTAGCATGATCCGCCTAAGTTAGTGAAGATATATAGCTCATATGCTCCATCTTTCATACAAGTTGAAATATGTAGGCACGAATAGGAGTATTTCCTAGTAACAATATAACTTTCATAACTTACATAGTAGCTATTGAAACGTTTGCTAATTATAGACTTCGATCTTTCGATGATTTCGTTATGAATCCCGATTGCGAGACGGACATCTATAGTCTGGAATGCCAGGAATGGATGAGCCTAGTGTGCGACCGTTGCAGGGATCTGTTTGCCGAAGCAGCCAAGGACATCTGGGCCGCCTGGTGGCACGATACCACACCGCCGTTGTACAAGGATGTGGCCGATATGACCGTCTATGACTGTGAGAAGCTGAAGCATTTGCTAGAGGTCCAAGTGGCCGCTAGCAGTCCACATAAAGCTACAGTGGAGTACAAAGAGTTTGCGTGGTGGCAGAAGATCGCCCTGATCATCATCTATATTTCCATACTGGTGCTACTGCTCGTTGTGTGTCGCCGTTGGCGTAGAACATGCAAAGCTGACAACCTGCCACCCATTCACAACGAGCAAGAAGATCTGCTGCTACCGACATCCTCATCTAAACCGGATCACCCACCAGCAGAGCAATGCAAACCGGACGAGACCGGAGCAATACCTAGGGAGTGTCTCAGGCCGCTAAAAAAGCACGGCTTCAAGGCATGGATGCAACAAATATGCCGTCCGATTTTCATTCACAATGAAGGTGCGCTAAAGCGCCGACAGAAGAAGTACGAGGAGGACAAGAAGCTCGAGCGCATCCTCAACGAACGGAACATTAAAAAGTGGACCAAGGCTCGCACCAGAGCCGAACGTAGGCGCGAAATGGAATTGGAGTCCATGGAAATGATGGAATTTAAGCAAACAAGTAGAAAATAATATCATTATAAAGGAATGAAAACAAGATATGAATTTCATTGATTGAGTTAGTTAAAGCATATTGTCTAGCACTGGATAAGTAAGGATAAGGAAAGATATATCTGAGAACCAGATTAGGTTACGTTTCCTCAAAGTCCCTGATTATTTAAAAATTAAAAATAACTTTTGTAAATTAGTTATATGATAATTTATATACCTATACATATTTTAAACAAATAAAGGATGTATTCTAAATAATCTAAAAAAGAGAAAGGTACATCTTAATAATATTTTTAAAAAGATTACATAAAATAATAAAAATATAAATTTTACATTTAAGATATTAGATATTTGACATAATCCTTGAAGATGTAGCAGCCGAGTCCTGGTCAGATTTTATGCTTTTCTTCCTCTAGGGAATTTATTTTATTGCCAAATAATAAATTAATTAGTCTTCAATAATTGCAACAAATCGAAACTTTATTCTCTCTACTAGCACAGCATTTCACAATCCTTGCTCGGCATTCCAGATGTGATACTCATGTATTGCATCCAAAATTTGTGTGAATAAAAATTCAGATTAGTAGGTGGGAACGTGTTTTGTAATACCTGGTAGCAGTATAACTCAGAATTCAGTCCAGTAGTTGTCCCAGTAGCTTTTGAAAAATGTGCTCTCGATAAAGTGTGTGTCCGATCTTTCGATGCATTAAACATGAATCCCGATTGCCAGGGCAGCTGCCCGGCATGCCAGCAATGGATGGGCCAGATGTGCGCCCATTGCAGGGATCTGGTCGTGAAAACAGTCAACGATGTTTGGGCCGCCTGGTGGGCCGAAGTAGCTCCATCGTTGTACAAGAATTTGGTCGAGTTGCCCATCCTGGACTCTGACCGAATTTGTGAGCTGCTGCAGCTGGATGAGGACGTCGATGATGATGAATCAGAGTTGTTGCCACTGCAATATGAGGACTTATCGTGCTGGCAAACGGTGGCCCTGATGTTCATTTATGTTGTGGTTCTTGTGCTTCTGGCTGTCTTGTGTCGCTGTTGGAGAGGGCAACACCATGTTCAAATGCAGACCGATGACACACAGATCGTGGAATGGCGGCAGGAAGAATCGATAATATCGGAACAATCCCCGAGAGAATCATCAATATTGGAGCCACCCTCGACAACGGAAGAGGAGCCAACTAAATCGAAGCGAGAAAAGAAATGCAAAAAATTGTGCAAACGATCAAAAAAGAAATCGCAACCAACATCGGAGCAATCGTCCAAATATGAGGCACCATCCAAATCAAAGGAAACAGCTGGCGCAATTGTATGGGGCGGAGCAACAGCTGAAACTGTGGAAATATCAGAAAAATCTGCATCCGAATCAATCAAATCGAGGCGACCAACAGGATTTCCAAGAGATCATGAAGTGCCAAAAGACGATTCTCCACCATTATCGGGGCAACCATCGAGAGCGGCGCAGCCAGTGCCAATATTTCATACCGCAACAACATCGGAGCCACCGATGAATACAAGGGAGTCGGAATCAACAGGACGTGCAAGAATCAATTATCAATCACCAACGACGCTGTCCCCAATACAATCGGAGCGAAGGGTAAATTCAGTGGAGCCTTCGACGCGAGTGAGAATATCTAATCAGGAACCAGACTCGGAGCGACCATCTAGCTCGGAGCAACCGTCAAAGCCTTCGGAAAACGCCGCTTCAGATAGCTCAGAGCCGTCTAAACAAAAAAATCTTAAGCTCAAAGCCTGGCTAAGATATAAAATTCGTCCGATCTTTGTGCACAATCATGATGCGCTGCGACGCCAACAGAATAAGTACAAGGAGAACGAGAGGTTCAAGGAGCTCAACACCGAGAGAAACATTGAGAAATGGACGAAGGCACGGGAAAAAAATGAAAGAAAACGGCAAATCAAAAGAGAGAGCGCTGAAAGCAAAGACGAAAAAATGCGACTAGCTTGGGGAAGGTTAGACAATAATAATACTAATATAACTAGTACTAATATTTTTATTGTTTTATTTTAGTAATTCTTCAAATAGAGAAAGTGAAGAGCTACCAACTGCTTTGAAATTACCTAGGAGATAGTGTATATACATACATATATGTACATATGTATGTGGTATTATTTTTGGATAACTTTGACTGCAATCTAAGGAAAGTGGAATGCAAAACATAAACCAATTGGATTTCAGACCTGGAATATATATATATTTATAACTATGTTTTGCTTCTACATATTCACTATGCAAATTTTGGCAATTGTATTAATTTGTAGTGACAAATTCAAAATAGATAGTAGTAACAGAAAGCTAACTGTACTTTATTTCAGCATCCACATGGACAGCTGATTGTCCAGTGTTGCAAAACACTGCAAACAATTCAAATGTGCGCTTTCGATGAATAGCATTTTCAACTATGGCGTTGAGTTGAGTGCGTGAGCAGTTTTTTATAATTAATAATAAAGTTTTAGTGATATAAAGTACGGAGTAACGTAAATAAATTACACAGTATACGTTAATTGAAATTTGAATGATTTGATGTACATAAACATATATATATTTACATACATACATATGTAGCAGCAAGTGCTCTAACGACGGTTTGTAACTAAAATTTCCGCTTATGAGGGACTTTCTTTGTGCATTAGTTAATTTAATTGATATGTAATTATATTTAAGTAAATAAATACCTAATTTAATTCTGCTCAACAGAAACTCTCTGCTGAATCCTTCTCTTGGGCAGAAATAGCTGAGATGCCTCCATAATATTTCGAGTAAGCTCCAAGTGTAGCACGTGCTGCTTGTAGGACACAACCTAAAATATGAAATGTTTTCATTAAATTTATGAATTTAGTATAAATCAGTGAAAAGAATTACCGAATCACATAATGTGCTTGATCAAAATATAAACAATTTATATGATAATATATAGGGCTAGTTATATAGTAGCGTTATATAGATTCGCTAATATATAGACTACCCAGATTATCGAGTTAAATATAAAACATATACAAAGCCTAATGCATGATAATCTGATAATATTTTAGCAAATCACAATTAACAATAGCAAAAACATAACAAAATAATGCCAAGTATGCAGCACGTTGATGTTGTACGTGTTATCTCAACGGATTGCATACTTGGGAAATTTTGTGAATGTGTATTATGTTGCTGATGTGCATAAAAACTTATGTTAATAACAATTGAAACCACATTTCGTTATCAGCTTAATTCTTTGGGTTGTCTTTTAATCACAATTAATATTGCTCACTTATAATTAGTTTGTTATGCAAAACATGTTTCAGCACTCATTGTCAGGCGTTTTAAATGATATCAAGTACATATATATATATATAAAGGGATTTTTCTTTCTGTTTACAAAAAGTACAAATACAAAGTTAGCTGGCTTAGGCTTATAATACACACATACATACATATAGTTGGCCAGCCTACATAATTCAATAGCAGAATTCTTCTAATTGCTAATACTAATTTATTAATTTATGCACTAAATTATTAAAAAATGTGCGCACTAAAAAAGTAGCTCAGCTTCTTTAAAATAAATTTGTTCTCTGTCTTTTGGTATTGTTAAAATAATATAATTACATTTACAAATACGCAAGAATCATTTGTTTATAAGGCAAATATGTAAGTCACTTTCTTGATGACGCATACAGCGTCTAGTTCATTAATATATATATATATATATATCTAAATGTATATATATATATATTTATTTTTTATGTAAATAGCCTTTGAAGCCGTTGAAATGTATTAAAAATGGTTTTTATTTATTTTTTTTTTATAATTTGGTACCAAAATTGTAGCCGTGTTAAAGCAGTTTGTGTCTTTGTAAAGATTTAAAAAAGTTTCGTTAACAATTGAAACAAGCTCTTTGTGCCTGTGTGTGCTAGTTTTACATTTAATACATATTATCTATACGTAGATAAGGCTCACTCGTTGTATATTTCATTGTAACATTTTATGAGTACCGAGATCAATGTACGTTATGCATGTGCGGGTCTATAAACAAATACATGAATCAACATTACACAATACAATTTTACTTAACAAAACTATCTCTTTTTTTCATTAACAAACTATTTTAAACTAAAACTATGTCATTTTCTTTCACTCACTTTTTGTTTGGACAGCATAAATATAAACTAGTTAACCTTTTTTAAAAGGTTCGATATAATTTTTTTTTTGCGAAAAATAAAAAAGGTATCTTTGTAACAAATGACTTTTGTGCTCTTAATAGTTTTGTTGTTTTTTTTTTTTTTTTTTTAGTTTCATATAATTGGCAAAGCTCTCTAGTTAACGCTGTTTGGTCCAAGTTCTATATACAGTTGGCTAAAGCATAGCTATGTCAGTTTCTTAGCCCATTTTAAGTCGTCGTCGCGCGGCTTTAAGCCCGTAAAGCGTTCAATAATACACTCAAAACTTGACCAAAATCTAAAAGAAACGAATAGTGAGTTGAATTTGTGAGTCTATTAAGTATTTCCAGACACTCACCTAAGCTGCTCCAGTGGCCAATTTAGCCAGCCGGTGGTAATGCAGAAGTAAGTCTCATGCGGCGCCACATGATGAATGCGATGATGCTTGCGCGGCAGAATTATGTGACAGTTCTGCAGCAACAGCACCCATCGTGGCAGGCCCCAATACGTGTGCGACCACTTGTGTATCTAAAGGAATGGTAAACGGATGTTAGTTACATTTCTGATTATGATGGGCAGGCATGCAAGATTATTTCTTATTAAGTGTTCAGATTTAGGTATTCCATAATCATTCAGCTACAGCTGTTAAGGGCGCATGTTAACTAAACTTTGTTAACATAACGGTAACAGTACCAAACGGAAGTTCATACAAAATTTACTTACAGATCAACAGACTTTCTTTTTAAAATATTAATTGTAGATTCCTGCCTGGCCTCACCTGATTCGTCATAGCCACAAATATGGAGCATAGAAACACATAAGCAATCCAGCCGAAATTCTGTTGTATTTCGTACGGTGTCTTTATATAAAAATAGTGCGCCAAATAGCCAAGTATGGGTATGCCCACCATAAAGTTATCCCCGTTTGTCTCAACGAAATCGTGACGTGTTATTGAAGTCGGATCCAGATGGTGCTCACGAAATGGTCGCAAGAAGTTCTAGAAATGTATAAATATAAGAATTGATTATCAATTCCAATGCTCGTCAAATTTTCATTCTTACCCTTCCAATTATGGGTAAATCCACAGAGCCCCAGGTATCTGCTGCCCAATGGACCAATCCGGAGGCAAAGTCGGCTGTTATAATGCCACACAATGCAGAGATGAAGGCCACGCTGATGCGCTCCAGGCGCATGTGTTTCGCAATCAGGACCAAATTGATGATCATCAGACCGATGCAGGTGTAAACACAAATGATTTCCTGTGCCCGTTTACCTGCCCAAAGTAAATTGTTAGTGCCAAAATGCGATATGGAACTTATATAGCTACTATATAATTGATTATCTGCTTGCTGCTATTAATGAATTTAGCGAGTAGGCCACGAAATTGATAACAGTTACAAGAACTGATTAAAATTGATAGCAGCTAATCTATTTTTACGATTGATAGAGCCGGTAGCAAAAGAAAAAAAATTCGAAAATTCTTTCTGCATTTGGACTGAATTCCTGTCTATATTATCTGCTTGATATATATTTTAACATGAACATTTTACAAAAGTTAATGTACATATATTAATTTAATGTTGCTGAGCTATTCTTAAATCATTAGAAAATTATATTCTAAAAACTCCAAATACAATTTTAATGCATATATTGTATTGTATATTTTGTACATGTATATTATGTATATTATGATCTAAAACAGTTAGATGTACATATGTTATATAACTGTTATACGACTATTATCCTCACCTGGACTGTAGAGGGATGCCAGCTCCTGGGCACCTTTGTTTTGAGGGCCCCAACGTGGCGAGGTCACTACTGCTGCTGCCGGAACAGTTCTGGTGCTCGCTGTGGATGCTTCATTGGCTGTCGTCTGCCCGTCCACCTGCTCCTCCGGATGTAGTGCTGTGGGTGCTGAATTGCCATTGGGATCATCCTCGTACATGGAATTCTCCAGTATTTCCTTATCGCTTTTGGCCGCCATTGTCTGATTTAGCAGGCAAATAAAAGAAGTAAATATAAATTAAGAAATATACAGATTAAAGTCGCATTAACAAGGACAGTTTCATTTCAGGCACTGGCCCTGACTGACAGCAAATTCAATAAGTTGGACAAAGTCAACTATATATCACCACAGACACATATGCACGTGCATGTAATATGTGACATTTAAATACCAACTATTTCTGCAACTCTGCTTCACCCTAAGCTGGGCTCAAAGTGCCATGAGCTAGACAAAGACAACCATATGTGTATATGTGCACATATGTGCGTGTGCTTTTATATACCAACTGCTACAGGTGTTTGAGGCATGTAAGTGAGAGCGAGTGTCAGTGTGTGTGTGTGTGTGTGTGTGTGTGTGTGTGTGTGTGTGTGTGTGTGTGTGTGTGTGGAGGGCGTACGCGTGTGTGGGTGTGATTAAGCATTCCGATTGGCTGGCCTGAGCAGACACTGATCAACTATTACAGAGGCACAATTAAAATCCCATCAATGCAGTTTAACTGAAATAATAATTCAAGCTAATGATAACACTTTAAGAGGTAGCCAAAGTACGCTTCTATGAATGAGAAACTCAACTACTTTAAGTAAATACCTGAAGAGGCCTCTTCAATAACAAGAGAAATATAAACAAAAGCCATGAATGCCTCAGTTACGAGGGTGGCTCAAATTGAAAGATTGATTGAATTGATTTTTCAACACTTTACTTCTTATTATAATTTCTCTAGCTATTCTATAAACAACGATTCATCAACTACCACCTGCTATCGTTATCGATCCTAAATAACTTCATATTGCCATCGAACGCCCCCTGATATAAATATTATTTGACGATTCGAGACGTACGTGGTTCTTCACGCATAGAAACCATTAATTGTGGGATTTTCACTCAAGTAGTTAACTATTATTTATGCATTAGTTGGAGTTTAGGTCAGAGGTCAGTTAATGACACATATACAAGTAGTTTACTTCTATATTATATTGTAGTAGGGCCACATAATGCGCTCCGTATTGACAAAACAATTTCCATTCCCAATCATACATACAAGATATATAGTATAAGCCGTTAGTATATTGTGCTAATGATTGCGCCCACAGTAGGAAATGTCAAGCGAATTACACTTATGGAACTGTCAAATTGTCGGAAATCGATGTTGGTTGGTTAACGGCAAACGCATTAATTAAAACTGGCAACGTCTATTGATGAATCGTCCGCCCACACTGACTAGAAATATTACGTGAAAGGAACTGACAGACCAATACTAATGGTTATCAAAAGTCGCGGCGTGCACCGCCCCCACAAAGGTCATGAAAACGAAACCCATAATCTGATGGCTTGTAACGCCCTACCAAAGGCCAAACATTTCCGTTTGACGTGCAAAAAATAAAAAAATACGAACAAAAACAAAAATAAAGAAGGGAAAATTGGAAAGAAAAACGTTGATTCAAATTTCAAAAATAAATGCGAGACGACCCACCTAAAAGGTGAGCTAAACATGGAATGTGAATATGAAAACCTAGACAGCGAAATGTTAGCTACGGCGTCAATGGGCGACAACTCCTATACCGTCTAAGACATTCCGTTATTTATTATCAGCAATGTGTATTCACTTGCCAACGAATTTGAAAGATAATAATAATTTAGTCATTTCTCATTACTGGTAATTTATATAGAACTAAATAATTTATAAAATTAATTAAAGTCATCATTTAATTAAGCTAGATAAACAATAACTTTACTAAATATTCAAAGCTCAACTGAAGTTAAGCCCAACAATCGAACTCAGTTCAAAGAAATGCATTGCTAGCTTCTCTCACTCGTACACTGCAATTATAAAATTACTCATTCATTTAAAGTACTCATTCACAAGATGGCATCGAACAAATAACGGGGTATTCACATAGCTGTTCAATGGCTGACACACTTTTTGGCTTGTTAAGGCGCAAAAAAATAAATAAATAAATAAAAGGGGCCACGCAGCCAACAGGTACTAATTTAGCAATGTTACGGGGATTTGCTTTCTGTGTATATGTGTGAGTGTTGTCGCAAAGAAGGGAGCGCAATTTATTACACGAAATGCGCGAAAAGTCACTCGACAGTTTTTATGTGTTTTGAGGGCAACAACTACTTGCGTACCCCTCTTCATACCTATTTTCAAAGTCAGCGATTCGTCGTATTTATAGTTTTTATTGTTAGCTGTTCGCAATTGATAAGAAATGTTGATGGTTTTGCTTTGCATACTCTGCACTCGCGTAACTATTTATAAAAAGCATTTAAACAACGCTAGGCAAACGCTCTCACACATACAGATACAATCATATCCTCACATACACGCATACATACAGTAACGTTTTGAGCATTTGACTCACCTTCTGTGCGTGTGTGTGTGTTGCGTTCTGTTTGCGTCGTCGGTAGCGGGCGGCAAATAACGGCAAACACAAACCGCTCTTATTGCCGCTGTTGTTGTTGTGGCTGATGTTAGCGGGAAAGGCACCTGTAAAGAATATCGCACAGCAAAGCTCTGCCATGTGTGCGGGTTTTACTTAAAGCAATTAAATTTAAATGAGCCGTCTAGTAATATATATTGATTAAAATTAGAGTCTACAATACATTTTATGCATGCAGAGCAACAAAAACACGCACACACACACCATTACACAAGGACGCACGCCATGAATTACAAGAGAACTACATACGTCAGCAACGGCTCCACAATATAGCTAAAAAGTAAATAAATGCTGCCTTTATACACGTGATTTTATGTTGTCACAGGCGTGAAATCGCAAATGCACACCACACACACACACATAAACTCTGCGACCCGGAAACCGACAACACTGCGACTCTGCCTGCACTTGCACAGGCCACTTTGCACTAGTAAATACCGACAGCAACTAAATAAAATTTGAGCGAATGACAGCGTTTCATTCATGCCCTCTCCGTTTGCATGTGTGTGTGGTGTGTGATCGGTTTAATTTTACCGTTATATGTGGTTGAGCGCGCATTTACTTGCGCTTAAATGATGCTACTTTATCCGCCGCAGAAAATCGTGGTGTGAATGTTTTGGTATTTGCAAAGACAATAAATATATATACACCTAACATTTTGACATTAAATGCACAGTAAATTGTTTAATAAATTAAATAGTTTGCATGAAGTGCTTGTTATCGATTGACTTACGCGAGCTGCCATGACATCAAGCTTTTTGTCAGTCACAAGATAGTGTGACCATCTAAAACTGTAAAGAACAAAAATTCATAAACAGCTGGTTGTTACGTCGCCGCACACGCATTTCTAGTTAACAATCAAAGAAATTGCAGTTAATTAATCAAAATGTTGCCTTTAGCACGCGGCATTTACAGCAGTTTGGCACAAATAACACGCAACAGTCGTGCAGCATTACACACAGCCGGAGCGTTGCGTTGCAAAGCAGAACCAGCCGCCGAAACTGAAACACCTGCAGATGGAGAAGAAAATTCTGAAAATACTGCTAATGCCGCTCCAGATCCAAAGGATCGCAAAAATGTCATACCGGTGGAGACCTCGATCCGCTATCTAAAAAGCGCAGCATACAAAACAACTTATGGCGACGAGTTTGTGTGGACACAATATCGGTGGGTAAAGCAGAACGAATGAATTTCGAATTTTCTAAAAGTTAAAATATTTCCAACAGTCGCAATCATAAGGGCATGTATGCGCCGCGCAAGACCCGCAAGACCTGCATACGCCAGGGCAGAATCAGCACCGGAAATCCTTGTCCCATCTGTCGAGATGAGTATCTTGTGCTGGACTATCGCAACACGGAGTTGCTGAAACAGTTCATCTCGCCGTATAGCGGCCAAGTGCTCAGCTACTCCAAGACGGGTCTCTGCCAGAAGAGTCATTTGCGTCTGACTGTCGCCGTGGAGCAGGCACGTGATTGTGGTCTAATCACCTACGACGTGCCCTTCCGAGAGTACGATTACAGCGAGTACTATGGAAAAAAAGAGGAATCCAAGCAGTAAATAATTAAAGTTTATTTTTGTTAAAATACCAAAAAAAAAATCATTTGGGGTTACATAGCAATTAGCTGTATTTGATTTCGCATATGGATTGGCAACAGGTGATTATGATTTGTTTGCCTATATATGTATTTGTTCTTATGTCTGTCTGTAAATCTGACTCCATGTCTGCCTAAAAGCAAGGGAAGGACTACTGAATATCCTTTCAGTTATATGTATTCCTTTGGTATTTATATTTAACTAAAACGAAGCTAGAATGCTCGCAGCAGAAGAGTGTTCTCATTGGTCACATAAAGCTCGACTGCAACGACACCAGGCTCAACATTTGAGCGGCACTCAGGCTTTGAGTGAAAGTTGCCCTATATAAAGGGCAGCAGCTGTAGCATTTCTTCAGTCGCCCAGGCCCGGTGGGGGTCAGTGCAGTGCAGTAAAGTGAAGTGAAGTGTGTGATCGTTCATAAAAGACTTGGAGAAAAATACTTCGAGAGAATACTAAAGAGAAAAAAAGACGAAACTATATAGGAAACACCTACAGGTAATATTTGGAAGAAAAACATAAAGGAAATGCTCTGAAGAATTTATTATTATGATAAGCAAAATAAGGTCAGTGCAAATAATATGTTAAATATGTTTGCTACTTTTTATATGTTTTCTTCCTTTTTCATCTAGCTCGCATTTATTCCTCAATTTTAGCCTGTTTCAGGCAACTTTATCTACAATCCCACTTATTTCGCAACTCAACAGCTGTGGTGCGGTATTAGCAATGCTGAAAGCTTAGACTAGAACAGCTGATTATGATTTACAATTTGCATTGGCTTACATTTATGGTTACATAGCAATCAGCTGTTCACAATTTGTATATATATTGTCATTGCAAAAAACTCGAACAGCTGATTATGCTTCAGAATTTAATCGGCTTGTGCAACAGCTGATTGTGTTTCTAAAATAAGTAAATAGGTAGTTAGCATTTGTTAGTTTCACAGATGTCTCGTGATTGCACATTCCTAGTCGTTGGCGGCGGCATTGCCGGCGTCTCTTGTGCCGAAGCCTTAACCATTTGTTGTCCAGATGAAACGATTCTGTTGCTGACCGAATCGAGCGTGGTGAAGAGCGTGACTAATCTAGTTCCCGTTGCACGTTATATGCACAAATTCGATGTACGGGAGCAGAATGTGAGTGATTTGCGCGCCGGCATTGGAACCATTGTGGATCAGCTGGCATATGTCCACAGCGGCGAGCATTGGGTGCGCACCAGGACAGGGCTGATCATCAACTATCGCTATCTCTGCCTGTGCACAGGCGGTGCAGCTAAAGTGTTCAGTGCCGGCGAAGAGGAGCTCAACACTCGCATCATTGGCATACGGGACACAGATTCGGTGCTGGAGTTGCAGCGTCGGCTAGCCAGCGCCAAGGATGTTCTTATTTTGGGCAACGGAGGCATTGCCAGCGAATTGGCACATGAGCTGCAGGACGTAAACGTTCACTGGGCTATCAAGGACGCTCACATCTCGGCTACCTTTGTGGATCCCGGCGCAGCAGAGTTCTTTCAGCTGGCCAAGCAAGAGACGAAGCAAACAGCAGCGACAAAGCCCACAACGGCCATCAAGCGAATGCGCTATAGCGAATTGCTGCCCAGAGCCGAGCAGGAGGAGGAGCAGCAACGATGTAAACGTGGCGCCGCCTTGGGACCCGACTGGCATCGCAGCTTCGATTTAGCTGGAGGCTGCGCAGATTTAGCCAAACGAGCTATGCCCAAGATTTATTACAATTCACAGATAGAGCGCGTGGAGCAGTCTCCAGCTGGGACAGCTTTATCTGTCACTCTTAAGCACAATGATGGCAAAGTGGAGCATCTCAGCTGTGATTTCATTGTCTCCGCAACGGGGGTGCAGCCCAGACACGAATATGAGACAGATAGGCCATTTCATTTAGCTGCGGATGGCGGCATTAAAGTGGATGAAATGATGCGCACGAATCTGTCTGAGGTTTATGCGGCCGGGGATGTCTGCACGGCTGGGTGGTCAAATGGCGCGCATTGGTTCCAGATGCGTCTGTGGACACAGGCGCGCCAAATGGGTGCCATGGCTGGCCGTAGTATGGCAGCTGTGCACGAAGGCGAAACTGTCTATCAGGACTTCTGCTTCGAGCTCTTCGGACATGTGACGCAACTATTTGGCTTTCCTGTTGTGTTGCTCGGACGCTTCAATGGCCAGGATCTGGGTCGCGACTACGAGCTACTGGTGCGCTGCACACGCAACAAGGAGTATATTAAATTCGTGCTGCAACAGGGACGACTACGCGGCGCCATATTGATTGGGGACACGGATCTGGCTGAGACATGCGAGAACCTGATCTTAAACGGCACCGATCTCACACCCTATGGCGATGATATACTAAATCCAGACATTGACATTGAAGACTACTTTGATTAATTGAACAGTTTTACAAATAAACTTAAGTTTTAGCTTAATGCTACGTTGAGTTTGATTTCTTTGGGCTGTGTCATTTGAGCTTTCCTTCGGTACCTGGATAAAATCAAGTATATCTATAGAAATCACTTACAAAGGGTAAACAAATATATTTCAGATACTTACCCACATACTTAATCTCATCGAAAGCCTTGCGCGCTTTTTTCAGCTCCTCATTCATTGTTAGCAGATCCTTGACTCTGGCATATTTACGCTGATCCTTACGCACGAGAAATATAATGTCCTCCACCTGCACACGGCCCGTGCGACCAATTTCCATGGCACGATGTGTGGTCTCGGCAATATATTCAATAACCAGATCCTCCAGTAGATCAACTGTTTCCGTATAAGGATTCTTGTCGTCGCCAAAGCCAAACATCATGCAGCGCAGTTCCTTGCTGAAGAGACGCTTGCGACCCGAGTTGGTGGAGACCATTTGCTCATCGTCTGCATCCTCATCGAACTGCAATGTGAATGAATGCATTACTGTGTATATGTAGATATTATACAATATTTACATCGGCGCCTTCGAAATGCTCGTCTACTGTTGTATTGGCAGCCATATTACTTGTTTTGTTTATTGTGAATTTTCAGTGAATTCTGAAAACAATTTACGGTGACAAGTATCGATGCTGGAAGTTCTTTCTTGATACACACTAGCTAGCTGACTGCTCTGTCACTCATTATTATTATTATTATCGATAACTACAGTATTAGCAGCTCTGTATTTGCCGAGGCAGGCGCAGCTTCTCTCATACCCACATTCAAATTTAAACGCTTGTTGCTTCAACAACAATCTACCCAAAATGGATGTTTATACATACGAAAAATCATTTTTGGAGCGCCTAAAGGAAGCGAAAGCTGTATTATCATGGGATAACGCGCCAATGCCCGCCTCTCAAGTACGTTCAGAATGGAAGTCCTACGTCGAGCTGCAAATCGAGCCAGCAGGTAAGTAGCGCACGCACACATGCGCAGGGCGTACTCACATTAACACACACACACACACATGCAGGCTGGCAGGCTATGTGGAAAATACCGCGCGTCATCTGTGAGGACTTGAAACTGCGCTATCCCACCATTGTGTTTGGGTACGTGGAGCAGGTCATTTTCGACGAACTCAAGGCCGTATTTACGGTGACTGCTGTGCAGGATCAGGATGTGCATCTGCCGGAGAGCAATGAAGTCTCACTGATTGAACTGTGGCCAACATTGCAGCAGGAGAATTCGGCGCTGAATGTGGACACCACGGCCGAGTGTATAGATCGATTGCGTTTTTTCTATTCACATGTGTGGATGCCATGGGACAAGGACTATGATGATGATCGTGATTGGGTTCAAATGCATTTGCAGGCACGCATACAGCTGGCTTGTGATTTGAGCAAGAATCGCTTACCACGCCCACTGGCGCTGCATATGCGCACGCTGCTAATGGAAGCGCGCTATATACAACAGCGTCTGGAGTACCTGGAGCTGGACATGAGCGATGCCGAGGCCGAGAGCGACGATGAGGCCGTCGAGCTGAATGACAATACCACTGATCCACCACGCAAACAACCCAAAACGGGCGGCAGTCCCAAATCGAATAACTTGAATAAGTCCATGTTGCCAGTGACGGATCTGATGTGTCTCCATCTACGCCTGGCCATCATTCGCAGTGAATTTGAGATTCTTGAAAATCCGGAAATGCGTCGCGCCTATAGTGAACTGCAAAGCAATGGCCTAAAGCGTCATTTGTTGCAGCGCAGTCCTGGACGTCTGAGTCAGCTGGACGAAGAAGTGGATCATAAGCAAATGTGTCACCTGGTCACAGTGCCGTGTGGGCTGCAGACACAAATCGCCCTGCTCAAGTTGGCCGACCAGCGCGTAAAGCCGGATACAAAAGTACAACTGGGCAATACATTGCAGGTGCGGGTATTATGCTTAATTCAGATTTTGTTTATAACTTAATGATTTCACTTAATCCCAGGATGTGCTCAGCATTTCTCAGGCCAACGAAGACATATTAATATCACCCGGCCAGCACACCATAAAATTCCTGGAGCATCTCAATGATAATGGAAGTATTCAAGGTCTGATTGAGGCGGAGTCCGTGATCGAATCAAAGCATGATCTATCTAAGTTACCTTTGATCTGCTCGAGCGATGAGGACAGTACTTTGTTAGTTATCGATGGAGACTACACTCTCGCCCAGCTAGTGCTGGACTGCCGGCATGTGCGACGTGGCATTCTGCTGCGCAATGGCACGCTAACGTTGCGCAGCTGCCGATTGTTGGGCGACGGCCGCTCCAGCACTCAGGAGGCCATTGTGTGCATGCCAGACGCTCGCCTTGAGCTGCAGGATTGCTTGCTGGAGAACTTTGCCATTGGCATTTCAATGCGTGCCGAAACCAGCGCCAAGCTTAACAATGTCAAAATTAGGAAGTGCAACACCGGCTTGGAATTGCTGGATCAATCGGCCAAGCTGCAGCTGCTCGGACATAATTGCAATTTTCATACCTGTAAACTGGGAATTTTGGCAGATGGCGTTCCTCTGCCCAATAGCACTGAAAAATCGTTGGCCATAAAACATTTCAGTGAGCTGCAGCGGTGAGCGTTTCCTGAATTCAAATTAATTTTAAATAAGCCATAATTCTTGTCTATATTGCAGTTACAATGAGAGCAATTGGCTTGGCGATTGTACATTCAACAATTGTCTACGTAATATACGAGCATTCAATGAAACGGAGCAGCTGCTGGCCAAGCGCACCCATCAGAATCTTCTATTGGAGGAGCTGGACGGGGAGAACAAGGAAAATATAAATTAGTTTTAGTGCATGTGTCATGTAAATCGTCTAATCAAAATGCTTATTTGTAATAAACTCTTATTACTGGAAACGTATAACATTTTAAAGTAAATTTCATACTAATCCAAATTTAAAATTAACTTAGTTAATACACAGTTTGTGTATATTTTTTCATAGCATTTAACACAAATTTTCAAAATTAATCGGTATGTTAAAATTCAAGCGCCAACACAAATATCGATAGTTGACTATTGCATCAAGCCGAGTGAATCGATACCTCCAACTCTCCGCAAGTACTTTTAGCACATGCATGAAATTACCGCTGTTTACGACCCAAACAGAACGTTTGCTGCTTAATTGAATTTTAGACATCGACATACAATTACAAAATTCGCCTCCAGCTGCAAAAATGTCCCAGGAGCACTGGATGCGCGATTTGCCGCCGGAGTTACGCGATCTATCAATTATCAATTTGGCCATACCAGGTACATACATGAGATCATCTGAGCCTATGCAACGTCTCATTCGACTAATTAACATTGAAGCAATTCCGTCGTAGGTTCCCACAATACGATGACCTATGGTATTAATAGCGACTCAAAGCTAGCGCCCGATGCGGATACTGCAATACGTCGTTGGCATCGCATTTTCCCATGCTTTGTTCGGCGTTGGTCAAAAAATCAATCTTCGAGCATTTTGGAGCAACTGAGTCTGGGTGTGCGTTACTTCGACTTGCGTATAGCACAACATGAGGGCAAATTCTATTACTGTCACGGTGTCTTTGCTATGGAAGTGTTCGAACCCCTGCAGGAGTTGCGTCAGTTTCTGGACACCCATCCCGAAGAAGTCGTTGTGTTGGACCTACAACATTTCTATGATATGACCATTCCACATCATCAGCAGCTGCACAAGGAGCTGGTACAGTTCTTCGATCAACGTCTGTATGCCACAACGGATGGTCCGCTGCTTGAATGCTCCTTGACACGCTGCGCCGAGCTGCAGCGCCAAGTGGTGCTCATCTGTCGTCGCTGTCCAATTGGTCTGCCTGCCCAGTTCTGGCCCAGTTATGCTTGGCCCACGCCGTGGCCCAATACGGCCAGTATTAAGAAGCTGCAGTCTTTTCTTGCCGACTCGCTGCTCTCTCGCCAACCCCAACAGGGCTACGTCTCCCAGTGTTTGCTCACGCCCACGGGTCGCTATATAGCGCTGCGATTGCTCTTCACCCTGAAGCGCACAGCGAAACGCGTGGATCGTAAACTGAAGCCGTGGATAGTGGAACAGTTGCCAGGACCCTTTGACAATGGCCAAAAGCCGCGCGTAAATGTTTTTCTCGCCGATTTTGTTAATCTCAAAGATGGCCAATTCTGTGATTGGGTCATCAAATTGAATAGCAAACTGGAGTGGGATAAAACTGAGCTCAAAGGCGAAGATGATTGGAACAGAATCTACTCTAACGAATAATCGTATAAATATTGTTATAGATGATATTGTTTGTTTCTTTATATATTAGCACGAATTTGTCCACAATGCTCTCTTGATGCTTTTTGAAATACTCTCAATTTGTATGCAATGCTCTCCACTCTTTTGTATTTCTGTCTTTCTTTGATGCTATTTATAATGCTAACAATTCTTATGTATTGCTGTCTTCCATTGGTGCTATTTACTATGTACAAAATGTCCATTTACACAAGCGGGCTTTAAACTGCTTTTTTATGCCTATTTGCCATACGTAAAGAAAAATGTTTTAAACAGCAAAGTCTTGCACAGTTATATATTCATTTACACACATATATATATATATATATATATTCGTTTTGAATTGAAGCTAATCTAACTTCTAATCTATATCTTTATTGTTGTGTTTTGCTTGTATTGTTATTTACTAAAGCACTTCACAATTGAATTTTTTAGTATATACACAATAAAAGTGAGTTACAATGTCATTAGGGGATTGTTATTCTAGGGTATAATATAATTTTGTAAGAGTCACAAGACGGCACAAATCATATATATTAGATATCTATGTATGTGGTTTTACATTGTACATATAACTAATCTATATAGATACAAACCTCTTTACAATCTCAATTCTTTAAAGAGTAAAAAGTTTATAGTTGCGACAATAACAAATAAAATTTAACGCTAATTACCAACTAACTTCTAGTCGAGCATGCCCAGTGCCTAGCGCAATTTTAATTTTGAATTGTTTAACCTATCATTTAGGTGAATGTAAATGCGTGATAAGAAAATGCAAGTACTTGGAATAAAGTTCTGATAAGAATATGCAATTGTGTTAATTGCCTGGTTGAGGTATATAGTGTAATATAGGCAAGAACCAAATTCTACATAAATTATTCATACACATAGACTTTTTTTTCAAAATTAATTTTTTTGCTACTAGGTCAGATAATATAGTAAAAATAGCTTTTTGATATATAGTATAATTTTTTCAAAACAATAATAATAATACACTAATACAATTTTTAACGGTCCTAATATACCTTTTTCGGTTATAATCTTGTTGCTAGACACTAGAATTACTTTTTAAGATTATATACAAGAAATAATCGCAAACAATAAATCAGAAATTAAAAATCACAAATCATTAATCAATTATCAAAAATCAAATATCGGGATGATAAGAAACTTAAGTTAAGAAAACAGATAATGAAATGTTGATAATTAAGAATGTACAAATTATACATATATGTATATACAATTTTATATTTTTTGTCTATTTATTAAAATAAATTTTTAAAAACTGATGGCTTATTAATAACTGAAAAAATAGTGGCCAATTTATTAACTAAAATTAAAAATTAAAAAGTTTAAATGATATAAAAGCAACACAAATGCAAAAAGCGAACCAAGTACATAATAACTATTTATATCTAGCGCCTTTGCGCGTTCTCTGTAATTCGATATTTTTATCGAAAAGTATTTTTAACATGAACTTACGTTGGGGTAGAAAAATTGTTCGTTAAGATTTTGAAAACCTTGCTTAATATAGAACTTTAGCTAGAAAACTTTATAAGCGATAATTTATTTAAAATAATAACAAATTATTCAAAAGATAAATGTATAATTCACATATATATATATATATATATATATATATATATATATATATATATATATATATATAAGTTTATTTTTTAAAACCAATAAAAACACATACATAAAATTGCAGTAAAAATCATATATACATATAGGATATATATGAAGATATATGATATAAGGTATGGGTATAAATATGGCTATGTAATGAATATATAACTGACATTGTCAATCGATTAGAAAACGCACGGCCTTTTGTGCTTTGGTTGGGGAACTCACATCCGTTGACTGCATCGTGCCCAGGCAGCTGTGCATGCCCAGAAGCACACTGTCCAACCGATTGAGCGCTTCCTGCAGCTGATCAGCCTGGCAGCCGGCATCTGAATGATTCTCGCGCTCCTGCTGCGCCTTCTCACAGTGACGACGCAGTCGTTGCGCCGACCGTTGCATCAGCTGCAGCTCATGCTGCGCCAGCTGCGCTAAATTGGAGCTGCTGCTAGCCGGCAGCTGGTGGTGCTGCTGCATCTCCTCCTCCAGATCGTAGGTTAGCAGACGCTTGGTATACATTGCTAGCTTGCTGCTGGGCGAACTGCTAGTGGAGCTCTGTTGCGGCGTATTATTCGCGCTGAGCAGACGCTTGAATGGCTGCTTGAGCAGTGCATCCTTCATCGCACTCAGATTGAGGGCAATGCGACTAGAATTCTGGGTGTCATTGAGAGTTTCATTGAGTGCCGCATCCATGGGTTCCCAATCAATCTCGACGCTGTCGAAAACGTTGCCTGCATCACAGCTGGGCGGCGCATCCCGCTGCATGTCCAGCCACACGGTCAGACGCCCGATCGGCCATTCGGCCTTCAGGGAATGCTGCTTGTCCACAATGAGGATGACGGTACGCAGCAGTCCGAATTCATCCGGCGTCTGTGTCTGCCGAAACTCCAAGTGCGGCAGTCCCAGTTGGCGACAGCGTTGCGTCGCCTCCTTCACCATCAGCTGCGTCTTGTGCAGACTCTCCTCGCTGGGATTCAACATGATGCGCTGGATGTCCTCCAGCAGTGTGGACTTTTGCGCCGGAGTCGTCGTCAGGTCATAGTTGGGCGTTGACTGCTTCAGCTGCTGCTGGGCCAACGCTTGGCGTTCGGTTTCGAGCATTTCGCTGTTGCACTTGTACTTGAACTGCTCCAGTTCGAGGCACTGCAGCCGCTCCTCAAAGTCACGTGCATGCTGCTCTCGCTCCTGTTCGATGCGGGTCAGGGCCGCCCATTTTTCTGCCTCCAGTTCGTTGCGCAGCTGCTGCTCCTGCTTTTGCAGAATCTCTTGATGCGCCAACTGAAAGTCCACATGGAGCTGTTCCGCCTTGCCACGCTGACTGCAGAACGGATTCGAGATGCGAAAATAGTGCGAGCCGCCAATGACCAAACGATCTCCATGGTACAGCGGACGCCGCTGCTGAAGCAGTTCGCCATTTACGTAGGTCTCGAAGTCCTCGCTGCCCGGAATCACGTACAGTCGACCCGATCGATCGTGCTCAATGCTGCAGTGCTGCAGCGCCACCAATGGACCGTCCAGCACGATATCCGGCAGAGAGTTCGCCGGTGCACCTGGTGCACGGCCACGGCCTATCTGAACAATGCCCGGTGGCAACAGATAGAAGAGCGTGCCACTTAGCATGGGATCATCGGTGAGGTTCACCAGGCATGCTTGCTTCTGTTCGGCCGTTAGCTCCAGTGCGAGTCCTTTGCGCTTGAGCAGTTGCAGCTCGGATTTGCGCTGATCCTCAGCCTCTTTCAGCTTCTCCATCCATGACTTTTGAGCGCGATTTAGCTCACGCTCTCGCTCCGCCAACTGCTGGCGCAGTGCCTCCACTTCGCTGTCATCGACGGATGTCTCGATTATGATTTTCCGTGGCGCCGGCGGATTGTTATTGCTAGCCGAGAGACGTCGTTGCCTCTCATATTCGTTACGCAGCGACTTCAAGCGATCCACCTCAGCGCGCAGGTCACGGATGATCTTGTCATGCGGCGATTCATTCACCTTCACCCGATTCACTATGGAGCGCGCCTTGCACGCATATCGCAGCGTCGCTAGCGTCTCATCCGCATGCAGGCTGGCCGGTGAAATGGTGGCCAGCATCACGGTCTTCGAATTCCCGCCTAGATTTTCCTGCAGGGAAACAGAAAACGAGACACTCTTAATCATAGCTGCTGTAGGTAAAAAATATAAAAACTTATTGCTAAAATTGACATTTAAAACTTCGCCTTATCGATTATTTTTAAAGGATAAATCTAGAGAAGCTGTTATTTACATGTTGTTCAACACTGCTTGCGTAATTATTTGATAGAAAACAAGTAAGAAGGCTCCAGTCGAGACGGCTCGACTAGGAGATACCCTGAACCCTCCAAGCTGATATTCTAATCATTCTGCACATAGAAGAATGTACATTGTACACATATGTACATACACATGCACTTATAAGCACGCGCTCTGCTAACTGCGCAGTAAGCAGCGGCTGCGCTTGGGCTGCGCTGCAATGTGGGCAATATTATGACAATTTATTTGTTGGGGTCTGCGATGATTCCTTCTGCCTGTTACATACTTTTCACAAAACCATTATACCCTGATTTCCCATTTTCAATGGGTTCAGGGTATAAAAATTGTGGAATGGATTTTAAGCGATGGAGGGTAAGGTGCATTTGTATCATTTCAATTTTCCACATGCCTGGGTAGTCTTAACCAAAGAATTATGACCTCCAAAGATAAGGACTTAGCACTGTTGGCAAGAGGGGAGTCGCTTTGACAAACTTTGAATGCAGAGGAAAAGACAGAAGCAGCGGCAGCGGCAACAACAACGACCGTTAACTGTTATCGATGCTTGCAGTTAAGAGTGAGATAGCTAGCTTTTAAGTTGTGTCAACAAAATAAACAAATATATACACGTATACAAATGCACACATGTACATATGTACGTTTGTGAATATTTATATTTGTCGGTGTATGTAATGGACACTTGTTTGATTTACTCTCTGATGTGCATGATACCATCGCTAGAATAGAGAAGAAAAGAGAGAAAGAGTGGGAGAGCATGTTAATCACGAGAATCTATGTTTGCATAAACTGCGCAGCAGCAGACGCAACGTGGGCGTGGGTAGTTGCGAATGAGCGAATAAGGAGAGCGCCAAAAACGGATTGGCATTGTGTGTGCGCTTATGTACAGTGAGTTGTAAACGCTCAAATTCAGTGCAAAAATAATTGAAAGGGTTTGGAAATTTTTAGAGCCGAAGTGTAAATTTAAAAAGGTTTTTAGCGAAGGGCAATACAATATATTATTATATATATATATTTTTATTGTATATAATTTAGAAACCTTCAGCTGTCCTCAAAGGTGTCAAACAGCAGAGGGGCCGGTCTAGACTTGCTTGGACTGAGATCACGCAACCATTGGCTGTGGATGAAATTGAGTAGGTGCCACCCCAGACATTGTCACCGAATATATCATTAATGTGTCATGGTTTTGTGGTTAGTTAGTCAGTTTTTTCCATATAAATGTTGCATTTTCAGATTTATTTTTGTCTCAAAACCTGTTATTAAGGAACACTTGTGCTATATATAGCTTGTGGTATTTGGAAACGAATGGCCGCCCACTTCTAGATGCATGTCACGACATCGCACTCAGAAAGTCGTGTGTACAAAATACTTAAACCACAAAAACTCGCTAAAAGCTGATATGTACAATCAAAACAGCAAACAACTTGATTAAGATACCTTTCTATGACGTAGGTAAATCAATTAACACAAGTTGTACGCAAATTAAATCGATGTTAACCTTTAATGAAGACAAAAGTTTAAAATTTGTTTATACACCTTAACCTATAGAATTTACGTCATTGCATACGAAAATTCGATCCCCAAAAAGATGAGGAAACATGTATGCTTAGACGCTCAAGAATAAAACTAAAAGATGTCTGCATGAGAAAATGTGCTTAGCAACAAAATTTCACGCTATTTTTAACCTTTCGTTATATAGCGCAAAGTGGGCATTCAGTCTAGACGTCGATTAGCAACCTATGGCAACATTTGCCTCGAGCTAAACGATGAAATGTAATTCCAAAATTTCAATCTTAAGTATAGTTATATGACATCAAATTTGGTTAAGGTGACAATTTTTAAAATCATCCATTTGTTTTAGCAACTTAACGCTAACAAGAAAAACTTCCAACGCCAGTATTATAATGTTCAATATTTTCCATGCCACAAACAAATTAACACAACTGTTTTTGACTGATAGACGATGAAGATGAATCATATGGAAAATTAACTAATCGTTTCAAAACCATTTAATCTACGCATCATACCAATTGTTTGTTGAATATTGATCATTAAAAAAAAAATACGCTTTATACCACTGTGCCGCATCTCGCGTGAGTTGGAAAGAAATAGCAATATGAGATATACTAGTAGGAGCACATGAGTTGAAGCTCAAGGGAAAGCACGAGACGTCGAAACAACCAGGCGACTGTACGTTTTTAGCTGTGAGTCGACCTTCAGATACTACGCACAAAGGCTTAAATGGTAGGTATAGCCTATAGATAAAGAGCTATTGCAAAACTAAACATATTTCATATCAATATTTCCTTAATAATGATAAAATGAAATTAGTGCGCAATAAATTCTATGGTCAAGTCCCTTTGTGAGTTACATAAACCTTTTAACTAATATACCCATTTATATACATATGTACATATGTACAGCAATCAGCCATAGAGAAGTAAAGTAAGCAAACAAGCGACGGAAAAAGCAAAAACAACTGCTACGCGTCGCAAAACGAGACACGACACGACGAAAACAACACGAATCGAACGGACGCGCGAGGGCTACAAAAATGCAGTAATATGGCGTTCGGCTTTCAGTTTCAGTTTTGATCTGACAACGTAAAGAGCGTTAAAAAGCAGTTCTCCGTACTTTAGTACAAAAACAGAGTGCATTTAAAATCAATGCATATATAAACTGGTTCTATACCTCAACTTGGTATGAAAAAGTGAATATTCAACAACAAAAAAAGACAATTCGCGTTGTTTGATATAAAGCGTAAGACGCTTACGTGAATAGCAAGAGTTCATTGCACGTTATAAGAGGACACACACAAAGAAAACAGAAAAAAGGTGAAACGACCTCGCACAAAGTACGCGCGCAAAAGCAAGAATAAAACAGAACTAATCAACAAATAAAACACTGAGGCACAGCCCACACATATCGGCAGTGCAACCTACATAATCCGCCTTTCTAAAAAAATATATACAACAACAACAACCACTACAAATATGGACGTTTGGGGCGTATTTGTTGGCGACTCGACGCTGTCTTATGGGGGCTCGATGCGCAACAACTATTACCGTGACTACGAGCAGTTCCCGTATGGCACGTTGGAGCACGCAAACAGTGCCAGCGCATATCCGGCCAAGGACTCCTACAGTCGAGTGCAAGGTAATTTGAGCAAATACAATAATCATAAAACCAAGAAATAATAGCGAAGACATCTAAATATGTTCTCATGCGTACGCTTACAATGCAACGTGTTTTTGATAGCGTGTAGCATATATGCACATGTATGTCATGACATTCAGCTTTTGTCTCTAGCAAGGCATAACATACACATTCACATGTGTGTGATGTGAAATGAAGTAAAAAGCGTTAATTGCAAAAATACGCACTGCAAAATATACAAAAACAGCCATGTTGTGTACGTACGTATGCCTGTATATACCGTTGTACATACTTATGTTATATTCAGCCGCTTAATTGCTGTTTATTGTGACTGCCCGCATTGTGTGTTGTTTTTGCAAGAATTTAAAAATAGCCACAATGTTCTTTCTGTGCATGGTACACATGTGAGAGTGTGTATGAATAACACGCCTTAATTTGCGCACATGCGAAGGCATCTATGCGAGTGTGTGTGTACTCGCATAAGGAAACTGGGCAATCACAGGGTGCCGCACACATTACATTTATCAAATTCCTCTTATCAGGTGTCACATGCAATCATTTCTGTTTGCACACTTCTGTAATCTTTGTTTACTTTCATTTTACATATGAAACCATTTTTCACGTGATGAACTTAAGTGCGGCAATTAAACACGAATAAACAAAAGATTGATAATATTCTTAGCCTTCGAGGTAGTTAATCATACTTTTGCCTTTTGTCGAGGCTTTTTAAGTGCCTTCTTTAGTGCAAAAGTCGCTTTAAATGCTAAACATTAAAGAGCACAATAAACAAGTTAACAAAAGAATTTATATATAACTTTAATTTGTAAGGCAAAAGAGACTGAGTCCGGCTAAGCTGAGCTGGAATTGGAACCACTAAGCTGACTGTACCCCTCGGCTTACAAAAAAAAAAAAAAAAAAAAAAAAAAAAGAGAGAGAGAAAAGGCAAGCAGGTGTTTGATTCCAAAACAAGAAATTGCGACGATTCATATATGTATGTACGTATGTATGTGCAACCTATTTAAGCCAACAAACCAAAAAAGAAGTAAATACACACATCTACTGTATGCAATGAGTAATTTATGCATTGCTGCCGCGCAATTGTAATTTTTATAGATTAGAGGAAATTTTATGCGTAGTACTCAGATAAGTCAAGGTTGCTTATCAAACGTTTGACGAGAACAATCGCTAAAATTGCGTCTATATATAGACCGGCAGCGATTTAATCAATGAAAGGCAATCTAAATATACACACATATACTTAATTTACGGCGGCTTGCCCATTGACAGCACCCTGTGCGAATCCACATGTCACAGGGTCAATCAAAACAACCGTAAAATCTTGCCGCTACGTGACGTTAACAGCGTGACGTCACGTAAGCAGCCGAGGCAGCTGAAGCAGCTGGAAAGGGGCAAAGTGTGCGCGCACGCACGTAGGCCAATCAGAGGCAATGGCCAAGAGAACGAAAGAGAGAGAGCGCGTCATGTGTTTTCTATGTTATGTGTATATGCGAGTGTATGCTTGAGTGTTTATGTATTAGTATGTCAACAACAACCTTGTTTATGCCGTAAACAATATTAAGCAATGCATTCCATTTAAATAGATCACAATTAACCAGCTGTCTCTTTATTTTTGTATTTACAGAAAAATGTAAGCAACTAAAATCGGAAAAGCAGCTGCGCAAGGATTGCCCATTCTGCAAAGAGCACAAGAAACGGCCATTGATCAACTACATGCGCAAGCGTGAATCTCGTAAACATCACGAGAGCATCTGCGAGGACGAGGAGGAGATGCACGAGCACGAGCACGAAGTGCAACATCAAATGGCGAATCTGACAACTGTTGTGCCAACGCAGCAGAGCTGCAAGGTTTAAGCACAGCAGCAAAACTGATCAGATTTAAGAGGAGAGACAGACAGGTGGCAAAATAAAAGCCAAAAAATAAAAATAAAAAACAACAGCAGCAGCAATTCACAATGCCATATATAGTTAGATAAAGACAAAAGAAAAAACAAAAAAAAACAAACATTAAATGAGAAGAAGCATTGTAAAAGATGCTTAAAGCGCCTGCTGGGCAGACAGCGCAAGTGAGAGCGAGACAACTACAATAATCTACTGCAACTGTACCTATACTAACAATTGCGTGCATTTCCGCCTATGACGTAACACTACCATTTACAAATAGCAGCAGCAACAATAACAAGAAAAACAACTTCAAACAGCAAATACGAAAACAAAAACAAATAACAGCAAGAACTTTTAGCCGTTTTATGTTTTCTGTTTCTGTTTTGCTGTTTAACTTGATACCAATTTATTATACAAGCCGTTTACAACCTTTGTTTGTTTGTTTTTATTTTATGCGCATGCATAAAAAAAAAAAATGAACATAGTAATTTAGTTGACATACAATCCAAAAGCCGTCGCCCCGTTCGCCTCAACCCAAGCGAACTGTGGCAATCGCGAAAACAAAAACAATAGAACGGATCGAGGGAGCAAAATCGCCAGAAATACCAGAAATATTTTTCTATTTTGCGTACGAGACTGAGTAAAAAAATGCAGTAGAGCATATTCAATATTGAAACAAATTGTTTTTTCTAAATACAAGGGAACATTCGTGTGAGAGAAGAGGGAAAAACATTTGTTTTCAGTTTCTACACCCTGAAAATTGGGCCAAAATTATTTACAGGAAAAATTATATTTAAAAAAGCTTCATTGGCGCCAAAAAATATTTAGTATTTTCTTCCTAAAAGCGTTTAGCTATATATATATATATATCTATTTATATATATATATATAGTTTTGACCCAGACTTATATTTATCCTTGTCTATATTAGACACCTAATATTAAAAACAAATCGATTTCTCTCGCCAGCAACAAAATGTGCACAGTTAAATAAATATTTAAATTATATAATAAATGAGCTTAAATTGAAAATTGATGTATTTATAATATAATTTTTAAAGCTTCAGAGAGTTATGGTTATATATATATATATACACAAATTAATATTGTTATTATTGAATTGATTTTATTAACAGAATTTTTATAAGCAATTCAACAAAATATATATGTATATTATTAACTGTGCATGGGCATAAAGATATTAAACAACAAAATGTATTGCAAATGAAAATCTAAAAATATTTATACTATTGTTGAAATGTAAAAGAAAAACAAAAACGTTTAGCTTGCGGGTATCGAGAAAAATTATGCAATTTAAAATTTATTATATTATTGTATTTATATTTAAGTTTAATATATTTGAAAAGAAAAGAAAAACCATAAAAATATTTAAAAAAAAAAAAAAAAAATAAAAAAAAGTTATTGGTATTTACAAAACGAAACAACTAAATTAAATTCTTATTTTGGATGATGAAGGGGTACAAGGGAAAACAATTCAGTTTACTGTGGGTGAGTTTGGAATGCTACAAAAATGCTGGGATCGTATATAAAGTTCCTATGAAACACAACATCAGATTCTATTGAATTAATTAACAAATGGAACAACTTGGAAAACTATTCGTAATCAAGATTAGAATGAAAAACTGAAAATACATTTCTATAAAACTGAATAGAATAGATAGACAGCGAGTGACCTATTGGGTCGAGAGGCTTAGTAAAATTAGACCTTGGCTTACATAAGTTTCATTGAATCAATCAAGTTTTACAGTTGATGCACATAAAATATATGAGAAGATTTTACTTTTTGGCCGAAATCTTCTAACCTATTTATGTTATATTGTTAAATATAACATTTATGACATAGTTTTCTATAGCAAAATTCTCAAGACAACGTGCTTTTACCTTTTAAATTAGCACATTATTAAGAAAACAAGAAAACTGTAGATGAAAGTGCCCAGCTGGGTTTCTACAATATTAGCCACGTGCGATTGTTTGGATAAGTATCAGCTGTACTTAAACAAATTTCAATGGAATGTTAAGTCTATGATCTAAATATTTTATTAATATTTGTTAACTAAGTGAACATGCAAAGTCTCTCACAGACCGGCTAATTTTAGAGCTGAACTAACTTTATTTCAAGAATTTTGCGACACGTGGAGCCGCTAAGAAAATATAAGACATTCGAATTGTTTAAGTAAATGCAAAATTGTTGGGAATCTAGAGCCTGTTCCAAAGAAAATATAAGCAACATAATTTCAGGAATGAAGCTAGATAATGCTATCAATTGATTACATTGAATGGAGAAAAGTTATTGTTTACTTGAAAGAAGCTTGTTATGCGCGTGCTATAAATGAGAATTGTGCAGATCTAAAATATAATCCTGAAACTTGAGATTAACACGCTCACACAAGCGGATAGATGAAAGCTCTAAATTACCGCAGCTTCTTGTCGTGATTAAAATATTTGGGGTACTCGTGATTATTTAATATACTCTCTTTCGGCTTGTTACATAAATTTTAACAAAACTATTCTACCCTGAATTCCCTTTTTGCAATGGGCTTAGGCTATACAAATTATGATATCATCAATAGATTAAAGAGGGCTATAAAACTTGGGAACGTGCTACTTATAACTGATTCATTTTGTTTTATTATGAAACAATAAAATCCATAGAAATACTTTAAAAGAAATATATGATATTGTTAGCTATATATTATAGAAATTTATATAGAGAGAAATGACATCACGTGCTATATATTATACATAACATATAGTCATAATCAGCGCACAGTTCGCCTCTACTTAATTTTGCATTCAACTTTTGCTAAATTAAAGCAAAGATTGCTTGCAAATAAAGCATTAAGATCGTTATCTGTCCCACATCGGCATACAGATCATGTATAAATATATTGTATATAGGAGGTACTTAATTGAAACGAAAACACCTGAAAACAATGCGTCAAACTGAATATGACGCAAACATTTGTCTGGGCTAAATGGGAATTTCAATATCTGCAGATAAATTGTAGCAGCGAAAAATCTGGATGTGTAATAGTCTAGAAATGCTAGAAATAAGATGATTAATAATGCGCAAGTTTAGCTCTAATTTCATTTAATTTAATTAACGAGTCAACTCCGTCTGAGTCGAGCAAATTGCATCAGCTAAATCTTTTTCATTCTCTTAACTTAACTTCAAAGACAATTACCTATTATATTCGCTCACGTAGATCAAGCTGGAATTTTGACTAAGCAGATGTAATTATATTAAGTACTTATGACCAAGAATTTCTATATATACATATTTTACTTTTATTCGAAGTAATTGGAAGAAGAAGATTTGGAATTTCAAGTGCACTCGGACTTTTCTTTTCTAGAATACCATAGCTTCACTAAAAAGTCAGTGTTAAACTCTCGTAATCTAATAGATAATATAATAATATATCTATACTAATCTAATAGGATAGTTTACCTTCTCAAATGGCTATATACCTAAAACGAGCATTATGTGGTCGCCTTTATCTGTCAACAAATTTCGTTTAATTTATTGGAGTTCCCGCGCTTAAGACTCTACGGAAATGTTTTCGTCTGGCACCAGTTTGCTAATCAAAATCGAATTAAAAAGAGATCCGACTCGAAGTCTGGCATCCATTTAAGACAATTTTGCAGCATTAAGGTCAGCGCAGATGAGGTCAATCCGAGTACAGATATATTTTCCTTAAACTAAGTTGACCTGGAACTTGGGACCATGAAATTGTAGTACATGACAGTATCCTCCTATATAATTGATATATGCAATGTTTTTACTTGTTCCATGTGAAGTGAATTGAATTAAATTTAATTGAATTTCATGTGATATTTGACACAATTGAAAGAGCTCAATCCAAAGACTTTTGAACATATCAAGTCTCAACTACTTTGAACCGCACTTCAAGTACAGTAGAGCCTCACAGATTAGCTACCCGTGACAACAGCAACAACAACAACAACAACTTAAGCACATGGGGAAGCCATAGAAAAAATATGCAATTTATTTATACAATGAATTTGATTCATTTTAAATTCAATGTTAACTAGTTTGTGCATGGGAACGAATCGGATGGGATGTCGAGTGTTTGCTAAGTGAGAAGGGGGAGAGAATGTGCATATATATCGTAAATAGTATGTATATATGTGTGTAGGGAATGCATGGAGCTACAGTGAACAGAAGGTAAGAGAAATTCAGTGAAATTTGAGCTTTCTAGTAATATTTAAATATATTTTGAAAAGGCTTTAGATGACTTCCCAATAAAAATTATATTAAATATAATATTTTTGGGATTTTTTGTTTAGTTTAAATGCTTACAGAGTTTTGTATGTACTGAGCTTTGGGAAACTTTTGAAACTAAGTAATACTGTAAAGCAATTATTTACTATAATAACAAACCGCAAATCTCAACGGGTGCTAAGGGCATAAACAACAAGTCAAATTACCATATTAGCGATGCTAAAAAAATATACTATATAACTAACTATTTACTAACAATACCTAGACTAAATATATACCGAAACAATAATAAAGTTTCGCCCATACATCTATCTATTTAGTATATAAACATAAACATAATTAATTTATATATTATAATGACATACATTCGCATCTCTCATTTGTCTATTATAATATATCATACTATATAATTATATGTATTCGTCTATTATATGAGATCAGACACACTTATAGTAATTTTAATTAGCACAAATAAACCAGTTAAGTAGACATCGTCATGCTATAATCATAATATCATGCACGGTGCTATCGTATAACTTCTCGTATATAGAGCGTTTTCCATTGTTGCCAATAGCCAATGGCCACATGTCGCGAAGCAGACGGCACGCGTTTTCAATTAGCCAAACTAGTTAAGCGAACCTACGTATAATATATATAAATACACAGACTTTTAATATTTTTTAAAAGAAACAGCAAAAGTATAAGTAGCTACAGGGAGAGGGAGAGCGGGAAAGAGAGATAAAAAGCCTCGTTTAACACTAATTTCTGATAAAAACAGCGCTTGGAGAAATTAAAAAATATTTTACTGTTTTTTTTTTTTTCATTTTGTGGTTTGTGGGAAAATATATTGCACACG